ATTCTGATCAATTCTATTACAAAATGATTTACAAAATTATAGTTCATTGTACCAACAAAATCCAATTTGTTCTAACAAGATAATTATAGTTCATGAACATGAAGTCCCTTTTCCAATTATAAAGTCACCGTATGTGGTACGCTAATAATGTACATCCTTGTTTAATAAACCTATATTTTATTTTACTGTCAGTACTAAGTTCACTATTAATAACTAAAATGATTATGATACGAATATAGTCCAAGTTTGAAATGTTCAAATAAAATGTCCGTTCTAAACCCTATAGGCTTACACTAGACTAGACTTTTTTAGCGTTGTTAGTTGATTCAAATGTCTGGATTTTTCTTTAAACATAAGTGTGCTGTCACGATGTTGAACATTTGCAATTTAATATCGTTATTCCTTTAACTTGTCCAATATGGATATATTCAAACAATAACAAAAAAGTGACTGTGAAAAGCTCCCCCTTATACGTCCATGGACAGAGTTAAAATTTATAAATTGTGTATGTGTTTGACTGGCACAAGTGATTAATAGGGATAAATTGAATATATTCTGTGTGAATATATTAGAGAAGTTTTTCCTCTAACTGAATTTTGCTGGGGAATTGTATGTAATTTATCCTATTTTGTATATATTGCGATAAAGAGTGGAAAATGCCCCCTTGTATATGGATAAGTTGAATTTCTCGTGGAATATTTTATTAAGAAGTGAAATTCAGAGCTGCCCCAGCAGTTTATATGTACCAAAGATCATGATGAATTGACTTATGTGACAAATTTTTCTCAGTAATGTTGTTTTGCACTTGTGCCGATGCGATTTTTGTGCAACTTTTAATAATTTATGTGTCAGTCACGTGATCAACAAAGTCATATGACATCACAAAAATGCATTATTATAATACCTGATTACACTCTCATCACAAGTTGACTGCAAATTCACAGATAGATTACAAATTGAAATTAAAATCTAGCTCAAAATAAAATGTACATTTTAATGCATATTAAACCTTCGAACAGCCTTAACATAGCTGCGTAAGGATACAACTGTGCTCGCTCCAACGGTGGCACCGCAAAACATATTATAAATGACTCTTCTTATATTTCATTTAAGAGGGACGACCACACTGTTTGAAAAAGTTTATGAGGCAGTCAGCACATCACGGGCACATATTCTCTGCAAATCGAAACATGATATTTCATAATTTTTCTGTGGTTGTAAGCAGAATTTTTTTTTATGTATTTTATATCGCTTGGTGTAGCGTTCATTTGACGTAATACATGCTTTTTCGTGCTCAGAAAATGTAAACGTTTTTATCACGCTTCTTGTTGTGTGCAACGTTATTGGTACTAAGCTTGGCTTTTCAATAGTGCTATAACGAATCAAAAGTATAAAGAACTTTAGTTCTATTGTAAATAATTAAATATTGACTGATTTTTTTTTAAGTTGTCTTGAGATGTACGCTATTTTCCCCCATCAGTGTGATGTGTTGCAATTAAAAAAAAATGAAATTAAACTCAAATTCTGAAAGAGTTTTAGAGATGCATGTTCATATAAATATTTGTTATTCCGATCATTGACAAGAATGATGGTGCCGTAAGAAAACTTCATACAGACACTGACGGAGCAGTTTTTCAGTTGCGATATCTTTTAAATAAGATCAGAAATCTGCTAATATACATGTAACTACTCTAAGATATGAAGGACATAAAATGTAAATTATGTAAAATATGAAATATAGACTATATTTTTTTAAGCTCTGGGTCATGCTCTTCCTATAAAAAAATATATCCTGATTTTTTTTTTCTTTTCATTCTATTTAGCCATTCTTACATGAAGTCAGTCGATCGGGGGAACTCGAGGGCAAACAGATCTTTAAAGATGACTTCATGTTTTAGTATTTCTGTTTACACATACCTCCTCTATTCTACTGAATTGTCAACAGACATTTTTTTGGCGATCCATATCGGTGCAAGCACCATTGCATTATTTGCAGGGTATTTAAACTTATAAATAAATTCTCTACCTAGCTAGATTTAACACTGTTGTGTTCGTCTGTTCGACAAAGTTTAAAAATGACTAGGACGAAGTTCAACTTTTTGGACCAAATTTAATTTCCTATTTTAAATCAAATTATTCTGTATGTATGGAGTTGAAAGCTTTTAGAACGTACATTTTTATCGTTTCAATTGGATTTGCGCAAGGATACCGTAAGTTCTTTTTTTTTCTGGTTCAATTGGTTTTATTTTCTTTTCACTCCATGCAACCAATTAAATATCTAGTGGCTTAATTCAGGTTAACTCATAGAGTTAAATTTTGAATTAAAACAAATAAACAATTAGAAAAATAAGAAATGGAAATGCTATCTTGTTAGACAATAGAAATATTCTCTATATTATAATGTCTCATTGGGGGATATGATGCACACAATAATTGTGTTAGATTATCGAAGGGCGACTCTTTAGCAAGTACAACACTTAAGGGGGGGGGGATTTAAAGGGCGTTTATAGGACATAAATTTACGTTGGAAAAAGAAATAAAGGAATTAGCGCATCGTTATCAGGTCTTTGAAAATGATACTTCATGCATTAACACCCCCACCTCAAACAAAAACAATCAAATTTCTTTGTTATATATTTAAAAAGAAAGACAAAATTTTGAGTGTCAAGGTTCACATGAGACTTGTCAACGAAAAGAAAACAGTGACCGTCAAGGACATTGATAAATATATGATTACTTAATATTCGCATTATGAATTGTTCCCTTCCATCTAAAAAACAAAAAAAAAAAAATATAGTAAGAATACTTTGATTTACAAGAGTAAAAACTTTGACCCTATTGTAAGCTTTATTATAGTTTACTTTTAAGGTTATTTTAGATTAATGGATTATAGCGAGGGAGAGGTTTAGTACATGTGTGTTGAAACACATTAATTTTATACAATGTGTTATGTACATGTACACTCACTCATAGGAAACTGAAAATAATCAGGGAGATCACTACTACATAAAGTCTTGTGTATGATGGTTTACAGATCAGGTAGTTAGTAAAATATGACAACCATGGACTAATCAATTAAGGAATGAATTTAATTGCTTCCCAAGTTATACGGTATAACCTGGGTTGGCGTAGTTTACACTTTATAAACCGTGAAGCGGTTTATAAAAAGGCGTAAACTATTCAACCAAGGTTATTATACAGTTAAAATACTAGTATATAAATGAGGGAGTTAGCAAGATTCCAGTTCCCAAAGGCCAGGACTATTTCGGAAATAATCCTGGTCGAGGGGAACTGGAATCTTGCTAACTCCCTCAATGATATACTTTTAAATCTTTTATTATACCGATACAAGCGTAAAATTTAGCGGATTCAGATAGCGTGATTTTAAAGCAGAGATTAGCGCACTGAACTAACACACAGAGATTAATTCATTCACATATCATACTAATGTAAAAGTAAAATCTAGAGGATTACGGATAACCGTGAATTAGCTTTCGAAGCAGGGATTTGCTCACTCGACTAACACACGAGAATTAGTCCATTCTTAACGATTTCTAGGGAATTATTCACATCTAACGATCTAATGTTAAATAGGGAAAAATCAGTAGAGATATAATAAATCAGTATGGATAGCTATTAAATTCATTCCTTATAATTTAATTTTGCACCATTAAGTGTAAAAATAGGACAATTTCTCCTTCAAAAATACCTTCAAATTATATATATTTTAAATTTATCGTCAAGCGGATTGATGCGTTTTGACGTAAGTCATTGTGACGTAGGCAACACATGTTATACGATATAAACATTTTTTTTATCCAATCAAATGACGCGTTACAAGCAAAATTAAATTATTAAGATATAAAAACCATGGAATAGTCAGTAAAATATACCATTAATAATATACCATGAACTGCTAGTAGGGAAACATTAATAAACCTGTTGCTGTTTCTGAGGCCAATACGATGATCAACACCTAAGGATCGAGGAGCGATGTGAATATTACACTTTGATTGACTTGATTGATTGATTGATTAATTGATGGATTGACGGATGGATGAATAGAATGATGGATGGATTGATTGATTAAGGTCGAGTGGGCAATATTTCATCCATATATTTCGGCGGAAATGAACTTCCGGGTTCGCTACATCATCATTTTGACGGAAAAACGACAATGATATTTTATTATATTATTCATTGATTGCATGAAACAACCTAGTTAAGGAAACCTTACTATCTTAATTGATCGATAACATTTGTTAAACTCCTAACCGGATCCAGTAAGGGAAGATGGATTTAACATAGCGAGTTGTATTAACATGGGTGCAGGTCGGGTGTAGGTGGGAAAAAAAGTTACCTATTTTGTCAAATCACAAGTTTTCGCTCTATTTTTTGGTCGAAGGTAAAAAAAAGCAAAAAAATAAATACTTGATGTATACCTGAAACGGGGAGATACACAAAACTTTTCATAACTACTAGTAATTGTATCAATTTTAAATTGTTTGGTGCATTTTGGTCAAATGTAGAAAAAAATAACGCTATGCCTCCGTGCACTTGTCAAGCTTTTGACCAACAAAATAAACTGTACTTTCCTGAATGACAACATCTTAAGAATTGCATGCATGAAGAGCTAACAGCTTTTATTGCACGACATAAATGCATTAAAAGTTTTAGCTGAATGGCATTAAATACAAACATCCATCTTTTCTTTCTGACTGAATTACTATATATATGGTTCACGTTTAGGCCTTAGGTTATTTTAAGTCAATAAATGCTTGCTTGATGCATGATAGCAGGTACATTAGGACAGTTAACTGATTGTCACACATCTTAACGTAATAACTCGGTTTTTTCTTCTTCTTTTTGTTTTGCTGTGCCCAACCAACAGCATTAAATTTGATCAATTTGATTAAATATATAATATCATTATATTACAGAGAACACTAGACGTTTCCATGTGCATTAATCAAATACATTTTCTTTCCTTCATCGTCAAGAAAATCTGGCTTACAAGAAACCTACATGGCAAAGCACCAGTCATGATTCTACGGTTGGTTCTGAAAAGGCTGTTGATGGGTTGTATAAGGATAGATCATATACCGGAAAACAGTGCAGCATATCGTCACAGGGACACTCAAATGTAACGTGGTGGGTAAATCTCATCAGGATCCTAAGCGTACATCATTTAGTGATATACTACAGGACGGACAACCTGAAATGGGGTACGTTCAAACCAAACTGCGCATGTGAGTTTAGGCTACGTATAGGCGTTTCTGTGCAAATGAGCTAATAAAAACACTAAAGAGGTATATTTTTTATTCCGACAAAGTGTTGATTTATTTTCTGATGCATACTTAGTACCCACGATATGTCATAGCCAGAGCACATTATGACGTCATATTATGACGTCACTGACCTTACCTACTGGAGGTTATGAAACACATTAACAAAACAGCTTCGGCGCAAGGGATTATCCTATTTATTTTTACATATAAACTGTATAATGCTAAGAAGAATATTCTATAGATTAATAAAACTACTGCACAAGTCCTAGACATTTTCTCATTTGATCGGAATTTGAGGAAACTTATACCGGACTGTACATTTTTACCCTTATTCAACTTAAAACTTTACAAATAGAAATTATACAACTGAGCTGTTCATATTCGTGCAGCAATATCAGCAAACTTTGATATATTGTGCTTCTAAATATACCTTGTTTCAGTTAAATAAAATAGAGCATGCCCTTGCGCCGAAGCAATTTTGTTGATATCCATTATAATCTTGCGTAGTAAAGAACAATGACGTCATAATATGACGTCATAATGTGCGCTGGCTATCTCATGTCGTGGGTACCAAGTATGTATTAGACAATAAGTTTTAACTTTCTCTGTATAATAGATATAGTCCTCAGGCATTTTAATTAGATTTTCATAGAATTGCCTATACCTAGCCTTAACTCACCTGCGTGGGGTTCTCTCTCTCTCTCTCTCTCTCTCTCTCTCTCTCTCTCTCTCTCTCTCTCTCTGTGTGTGTGTGGGGGGGGGGGGGGTGGGGGGGTTTGAGGGTGTGTGTGTGTGAGGGTGTGTGTGTGTGTGTGTGCGCGCGCGCGTGGAGGGGTTGTTAATATATTTAGCATAAAGCACACACAAATAAACACGAAGATCCATATGCATATGAATTTAAATTATGCACCTTTGATATTTATATAAAATAAACAGTGAATGGTCAAAATTCCTTCGTGAGACATTTACATGTGTACGTATATGTGTTTGATGTAGCTTGCTAATAATATCTTTTCATCATAAGCAATGCTTCTCAGCACAATGATTATATTAGGTTCTTAAACATTAATTTATCCTACCAGTACCGATCATTGAATAAAAAATCTAATTTCAAAAAGCCCTGTTAATATAAACTGTAGGATTTTATATTTGCCCTACAGATTGAATCATTAAAAAAAGGAATTTTTTAGCCAATGATACACCTATCACTGCTATTTATCACCTTCGTCAACTCTGTATGTCCTACTAGCTCTAAATGTTTTTCCTCTCCACGTTAATTGATGAATAAATGATTAATTCACACATCTCGTTCTTTACTAACGCTAATTTCGTAGAATGTTTATTTTCAGGTCGCCCGCATGGCGCAGTGGTAAGAGCGTCTGCTATAGAGTCGCGGAGTAAGTTGATCCTTACGTCGCGGGTTCGAATCCCACTGCGGGACGTGGAGACCGGTCCTTCGGATGAGACCGTAACCGAGGTCCCGTGACGCAGTAGGTGCTGGCACGAAAAAGATCCCTCACTGCTCAATGGCCCTAAGTGCCGAGTATAGGTCAAAATTTGTAGCCCTCCAAGTGGTGCCGTCTTCATATGAGTGAAAAATTCTCGAGAGGGACATTAAACAACAAACAATCAATCAATAATCTTTATTTTCAGATGAAAATCTTCAATACACTTCGAGATTTCTTGGATTCTCTCTGTACATTTCCAACACAACAGAAAGAAACAGTGGTGAATTGTGTTTCCATGACACAGAATTTACAAAATCAACTATACCGGACACTTTCAACACAACATGTACTAAACAAGGACAATACGTCATCTATTATAACTCCCGACCTCAGAATAATGACACATTAAGGGGACTTTCACAAGAAGCATTTAGTGAACTCTGCGAAGTTGAAGTATATGGTAACACTTTAAGAACTTGAACCATGAATTAATCTCTTTCAATAAAAAAATGCTAAAATATCATAATTATCAATGCTGATAATTACGAACAGACTCCCAGTTTATTCTGTTAAATCATGTGCTTTCCGCTGAAAGTTGTCAATTTTCTTTTTCTATTTACGTGCTCAATATTGTGAACTACTTATCTAAGAAAAGCATAAGCTATCTTTCTTAACATCTCTTTCATATAATATCCCAGGTTGCAATGAAACAGGCTATTACGGATCAGACTGTTCCCGTCCCTGTCCTGATACAAACTGTCGTTATTGTCACATAGAGACGGGTGCGTGTCAGGGGTGTAAACCTGGGTACCAGGGACATCAATGTGAAGAAGGTATATGTGCACTTATTTTAAGACCATTGCAGGCATACATTTGTTACATTTGTTAAATTGAATTCATCTTTTTTATGCACCTAATTGTTTTACTTATCAAAATAAATCATGTTATTTCCATACATTAATTCCAATTATATTCCCAGCTGTGTGTACTTCAAAATCAAACACAATAGTCTTAAGAACACTACTGTTTATATCATAGAATGCGATGGAAAGATGTATGGGGATTCTTGTAAGGAGGAGTGTGGAACCTGTCTGGGATTTAAACAATGTCATCACGTCAATGGTTCCTGTCCTGAAGGCTGTGACGCTGGATATGAAGGAGAGCTTTGTAAAACAGGCATAGTGCTTAAAAGCATTTAATAATTGATTATTCTAATACTTTCGTGTCAAAAAAAAAAAAATGAAATTCGATTGGATAAAATACATTTGTCAAAAGTATTATTAATTTTTTCAAAATTCTATGAATAGTACTCTTATTTATTTACCTTTTTTTCTTAGCTTGTTCCAAGGGGAAATTTGGAGTAAATTGTAAACAGAACTGCAGTATGAACTGTGCGTTATCTCACATGTGTAACGGAACATCTGGGGAGTGCGAGGGGGGCTGCAAACCTGGCTGGGAAGGGCTTCAATGCAATAATGGTAATTCCTTTTAAGGGAAATAACCGTTTCTTCAGTTTCTTAGTAAATCATTTTTATTGTTCTCTATTTGTTATTTCAAGACAATTTGAAAATTTTATATCTTTGCAACGGCTCAAGGATACCTATCGAATGTTTTAGTTCAATGGGTGGCCGTAGTATTTTAAATACAGCAATCAAACAGATATCTTTAGAGAAACAAATAACTATTTTTTGATAGTTTCACATAAACGATATATGTAATTTGATATATTTGAAGAATGTGTGATGGAGACAAAAACACGTCTTTGTAAAATATTATTTGTAGAATGTTCTGGTGGTAAATTTGGTAACAACTGTACTGAATTTTGTGGAAATTGTCTAATTCCTTCTGATTGTCATCATGTCAATGGAACTTGTTTAAATGGATGCAGTGAAGGCTTTCAAGGAATAACATGTACAGACGGTAACTAAAAGCTCTGTTTCACAGCATTAATTTATAGAAAGGAGAACTGAACTCATTTTATTCTTAATTTAAAAAATAAATAAATAAATAAAAGAATCCACTAACAGTTGAAAGCGGGCGAGAAGCCAAGCCATATAATATGATTTAATTATTAAAATGTCACCAGATGTCTTGAGATCTGCATACTGTGTCTGTTCTTCACTAAGGCGTCCACCGTACCTATTCAAAAAAAAAAAAAAAAAAAAAAAAAAAAAAAAAAAAGCCAAAACTTTATAGTGATAAAAATAATGTCATCCAAAGGATTTTATTTCATTAATCTATTTTTCTCGTAGAAAGATCCATTCTTTAGCAAAATCAATATATTTAAATTTTAAATACAATTAATGACATTTTGAAGACAAATATTTAGAGAAATTGACAGAATTCAAAGATTTCGAAGAGAATAACTAATTTCAGGACTCCTGATTTTGTTTGTTTATTTGTTTTCTGAAATTGAGTGTCAAAAACCAAGGCGGACGCTAAACATAGAAAAAACTTGGAATGGCCTAATTAAAAAAAAAACTGTTGTACCTGGGGAGAAGGAAAACGAACTAATTTTTTCGATCAATTATGACTTTCAGAATGTGAACCATACAATTATGGACGCGACTGCATGTATAACTGTAGTGCTGGATGTATAAATGAAACCTGTGACTCTAAAAGTGGAATCTGCGATGACCTACAGGTAATTATGTAGTTATGCATCTTGTATATAGCTGCGTGTTTAGTTTTCTTTCAATATAAATGTTTGATATTTCTATCAGGGTTCGAAATTCACTATATACAACTCGCAAAACGCGAGTTAGAATTCCCAAATTGCGAGTTAAAAATTAGGTAACTCGCAAAAATTTGCGAGTTGATTTTTTTGCATTGAAACTGTAACAAAATTATATAATATGACAGAACACAATGCTTCTGATTTAAATCAGTAATTTAAGTAAAAGTCACACTGTAGTTCTATTTTATGTATTGTACAGTAGTTACTTTTTCCTTAAGTTACATGTATTTGATTTATATAAATGTAACTTTATATGAAAATTGCAAGTAGTCTAATAAAATTGCGAGTTCACTTTCTTGGTACTCACAATTATTTGCGAGTTGTAGGGAGTTTCTAACCCTGTTTTATCTTACATGTACAAAAGGGCGTGCATAATATTTGGATAAACGTCAATATAAGTTTTAATTTGCTTCTTAGGAAGCACAGTTTTAAGTTTTAGCATTATTTTGGATACTTAAGAAGTGGGGGAATGATACTAGTGATTGGAGTGTCTGTCCGTGCGTCCGGCGGCTGTTCGTCTCTCTTTACTTCCGTTACACTTGGGGTCTCTCTTATCTCTTTCCCGTAGCGAGACAACTACACTGCCATTTTCCTTGTTTTTTTATGCAAAAGGTTTGCCATTCTTGATATAATATTAAGGGTACAGTGTACCCATCTTTTATCCGCAACTCCTAATATACATGTACCAATAAATAACATTTTATGACTTTCATTGAAATTTATATCAATGTCACCTTGTGCAGTCCTGTTTTACGTTTTGATTGGAAGATATTCAGGGATTCCCGAAGCAAAACATGAACACTGTCATTCTTTATTTAATATTGGGACCACTCATCTCTTCCTCTACCAATTATTAGATTTAATGAGATCTTTTCAGATTTTATCATTTAGTGCTATTGTGCACTTTATTTTTTTTCGTTTTGATCGTACAGTTATTTTGGGTTTCTGATAGCAAATCATGGACTTTGCCATTCTATTCATATGAGGGCGGGGTATTGTATTCTTATTTGAGTGCTTTCAAAACCTCTTGTAGAAATTGATATTCCAGATTGATGAAGATGACAACTTGGTCCCAGTCATCGGTGGAGTAGCAGGTGTATTAGTTGGGGGTGTGATAATTGTCATGGTGGTGCTGCTGATAAGGAGGTAAAATATTAAAGGATTAAACACAAGTTCAAGACTTTAAATAGTCTTCTCCTAATAAAACGTTTTGTAAACTTGCCAAAATAAAATACATGTATAAATATGGTCTGCTACATATACATAGTAGTAATAGAAAGAGAATAAGGTCTTTAAATGTACAACTATTGATTTACAATGGTAAAAAACTAATTTTTTTTTTTTTTTTTTTTTTTTTTTTTTTTGAAAAACGACCACATTCATTTAGAATGGAAAATACGGTTTGTTATTCAACAGAAAAATATCAATATTGATCGAGGCTCCTGTGACATCAAGTGCATCTGCATTTGTTTTCCCTTTTATCATCTTTTATTTGGAAATTTTGTATATTTTTAGGGAAAATACCACAAAACAGGAAAAAAAATATTATATATAATATATATTATGATTGCTTTGAAACCTTATACTTTTTTGAATTTCCTTACTTTGAGTTGATTCAAATCGTCCTGATTTAAGAGCACATAATAAATAAACTGCTTGCATGGAAACATTTGTTAAGTAAATGAATGGTATAATACACCATTAATCTTGTCCTCTTTTAAGTCATATGAATTGCATGTAGCCATTATTTCATGAAAATCGTATTTTGCGATGCTGTTGGTTTTCTACATGTATTTCGAATTGAGGATTAGTGTGGAGATTTTCTTTAAATCAAAAGGTTTTCACCATGAAACCATGTTCAGTTGATAATACATAAATTTCACTAATCCTGACCAAGAATTCTTGACATAAAGATAATGCTTGAATGTTTTATATGAAATTTAACTGCTTTAACAAATTAATGAATATCACTATCAGACACAGTGGGCACAGTTCACGAAAGTATGAAGGGGATAATAGACCAACTGATCAAGTACTTAAAGGTTAGTGTCTGTTTACTCATTTGAGCCTTATTTAGTGAAACATTTTTGTTCAAATTGGCCGTCGTCTGCCTAATTTTAGCTCAAGTCTAAAATAAAATTCCTATTTCAGACGGGTAAGGAAGGGGGGAGGGTAGGTTCCAAGTTTTCTGACAAGAATTTAATACAGTAACTTGGGGCTTGATTATACTTCAAAAAAGTCGTGTTAGGGACCGGCATCTAAAAAAAAACATTTTCATAATGCATTAACAGTGAAGCGTTATGTTACTTCGTGCGTGTAAACACGATATATAGATCTTCAAATAAAAGGAAGAGAGCGAATTTTCATGCCATTGTTTCAAAGAATAGATAGATAAATTTGGTATAACGCACAAAATTATGATCTTAAGTTATATTTTTAATTTGGCTATAAAGAATTTTCCGTTGTAAAAATAAATTGATATTCTTTTCCTTTTTCAGCTCATATGAAAGGTCAGGAAACGGGTTTTTCTGATATTGATTCCAAAACCCTACCATCCAAAGGTCGAGGTGAATATTACGAGAATGTACATGTAGGGATTGAAAAACCAATTCTTCCTCCGAAGAGGAATCAAGATGCAGATGTCGACGAAGACGAGTTAACATATTCGGAGAATCCCTATGGTGACTTCTATACCAACGAGACAGTCATTCAGGATATCCCTTTGAATGAGCTCGAGTTAGTTATTGCCGAGAAGAGGAAAAATGACGATGACGGATTTCAAAAAGAATATGCAGTGAGTATTGCTCAAAAAAATACAAAGAAAATTACTTTACACAATTCAAATAAAAGAAATGAATTGTTAACTACATGTATGACAACTTTCAATCAAAATTCTTTTGCTCTTTATGAAATATTTTTTGTTCATATTTAAGATTTTAAAACACCCCCTTGTATTGTACGGAAGCCGGTAGGTGCCAGGTAGAAAAATATTTTATCTGGCGGCCTCCAGATAACTTTCTGGCTGCCTCCAAATAATTATCTGGCGGCCGCCATATAACTTTCTGGCGGCCGCCAGATAAAATATTTTTTTTTCTACCTGGCACCAACCGGCTTCCGAAGTATTGTCCTTTGAAAAAACAACAACAAATTTTGCACAAAATAATATGAAAATATTACATCTAGAATATCTGATTTTATGAATTAAGCTATTTTTGAATGGTATTTTAACTGACCTGTCTACAATCAATTGTAAGGCATTGATTTCGTTTTTACTTTGACGTGCGAACGGCGGATATGACTGATGGACGGAGGATGTTGGGAACATGGTCCCGTTTCTAGTGTTCTCCGGATGGGGTCCAAATTATTAATCTATTTACGATTTGTATTGTTTAGATGATTTGTGATATTTATTATTGTTTTTTTTTATCGTTACATTTTCCATTCAATTCATTTATTTAATTATTTTAAAAAAGTACTTGGACAGTATGCCCCCGCTAATAATTGATACAAAGTTCTATGTTAGTCTGATTTATTTTATGTAATGTAATGTAATATAATGTAATCTTTCCAAAGACTAGCATCTTCAGACAGAAAACTATAATATCTGTAGTACTTTCAATAACTTGTAATCAAAATATTCTTTACTCCTGGATAAGATTTTAATCCTTAAGTCACTTTAGTTTGTTTTAATTTTATCAATACGTGTACTTTGCAAAAAGACAAGAGAAAATTTGGTAGACAGAAAAGGTGATATTTTATAATTATAAATAAACCAAACGTAACATGGGAGAAGTATGAATAAATGAACCAAAAAAAAAAAAAAAAAAAACACCCTTTCTGTGTTCAGCATGTTCATTTAGAAGGCTCAGTTAACGAAAGAAATTCTCCGAAATATAAACAGAGCAATAACAGTTTTCCCACAAGATTTATGTGCTCATTTTAGCCTTAGAATAAATTAGATAATTTTGATATGTTGTCTATTGCAGACATTACCTTACGGAGAAAAATGTAGATGTGACGCTGGGAAGACAGATGAAAATATGACTAAGAATAGATTTAAGACAACATTTCCATGTGAGTATCAATACCAGAAAATTAATTGTCAAAATTTTTGAGTTACATGTGGTTTGAATTTTTCCCTTAAAAATGGCTTAAATGCTGCGATTAAGTTGATAATCTTAAACTCACATTTAAAGATTATAGATTATTTACGACCACTTTTAAAGTGTCCTTTCCGTAATGTCCGATTTTCTCACACAGTCTCTCACTGTAAGATTTTTGTTTCATTTACGTTTAGATGACCACTCAAGGGTTATTCTGAAAACGGGGACTGGATCAGACTACATTAATGCCAATTACATTGCTGTAGGTATTTTTTTTTTTTTTTTGGTCTGTAGAGTTAAACTTAAGAGCGTATATCCCACCTAACTCCTATTCAAAGTGCTGGTAAAGAATCTAGCATGTATATATAAACTGTATATTTGATGTTTATCCTCTTCTTTAAGATCATTCAAATTCTTTGGGCGGCGGAAAAAATATAAAAAAATAAATAAAAAAAAAACAAACAAACAAACAAACAAAAACAAACAAACCAAAAAAAAGAACAAACAAACAAAACAAAAACAAAAACAAAACAAAACAAAACAAACAAGCAAACCAAAAAAAAAAAAAAACAGAAACAAACAACCAAAAAAAAAACGTTCACAAAAAACAAATAATTAATTTAAAACATAAAAATCCCCATACTGAAATACAAAGCAAACAGCGTTAAATAAAATCAACAGGTTCAAAATTACAAAAACAATGGACTTCACTGCAAACCAAACGATCACCAATGCAAAACAATTATTTACTGAATTGACGCTAAGTGGCGTGCAAATCCACAATAATTCTAAATGGTTAAGGTCAATAGGCTGAAATGTAGTGCATGAAGAAAATTCTCATGCCTCAATTTAATTGACAATATTAAAAGAGCTGACTTGATGGTAATACCTGTTCGGTAAAGAATAAAATATAAACGCTAAAATTTACAATGATAAGCATTAATTAACGCTGATTTATCGCGTAAATTATACATAGAAATGGGTATTGAGATGGGAAGTGTTTCGGTTTGTTTACAAATTTTTTAAGCCAGCTTAGTGCTATTCTGAGGACACCTTTGAAACCCCTATTTTTAGATATGAATATTACTCTATCATGATCTTTTTAATTTCAAAGTTTCAAGCCAAGTAAATTAAGTTTTCACTTTAGTCGATATTTAAGCTACAATGTAATAGAATCCGGGTCTTTTAGATAGCGTGCCAGTCTGTAAATTATGAAAAGCCATAGACGTATTTATGTGTAGCAAAGCCCCATCCCCTGTCCCACATTTTTTTCCAATTATTTTATTTTCTTTAAAGCTCTTAATTTAGAATGAAATGTCCCCTAATGACCAATTGCTCCCTCTTTTTTTTTAGTATTGTAAATTCCTCCCATGGTAAATAATAAAAAATATATCGAGTAGAAAAAAGTTGGAAATCCTCTTCCCCCAAGAAATTAGATTTCCGAGTTTGGAACTACCCCCTGCCGTTTTTTTTTTTTTTTTGTTGTTGTCGTTTTTGTTTTCAGGTTAGTAGTCATTTTTTTTTGGGGGGGGGGGGGCTGCCCTTCCCCCACTTTAGAAGCCTTACTTCGTGACTGGTAGACATGTTTTTGAGTTATTATATGCACTGCTTACATGTAGTAGTAGTAGTAGTAAATTTTATTTATAGTCGGAATATATACATTTAACAAAAAACATGAGCTTTAAGGCTCTTTTACCGACTAGTAACATAGAAACACATTTAGCACAAATAAAATGTACATATACATATAAGAGAAAACATGCTTAAATTTGACATAGACAGAAGCACATAAAACACAAGAATGGAACTAAAGACACTGGTAAACACACATAAAAATGACATAAAAGACACAACATAAGAAAGCACACAAACACACACATATATAACAAAGATCATGCACACACATATATAAGAAAGAAAAAAAAAAAAAAAAAAAAAGAGAGGTTAAGATAGCACTAATATAGTAAAATCATAACTTAAAACCAACAAACAGTAAGCTACAAAGGGGGAGACATCAGGTATGAGGCTTAAAAGTCTGGAGTCTGCAAGAACTACATTTACAATTTATTTCTCCACACCAAGATGAAATGTAGTTTGAAAACTGATTATAGGAGGAGAATTTCCTGACTTCATTTGGCAGGGAGTTCCAGAGCTTTGCTGCCTCATACCTGAATGATTTCATTCCATACCTTGTTGTTCTTGGTCTTGGGACCTCTGCAGTATTTGTATATTTAAAATTGTATGAATTATTTTTATAAACAACTAGGTCTTGCAAAAAGACAGGACTTAAACCTTGGATAATTTTAAAAGTTTCTAGAGCAATGGCTCGCATTCTTCTAGTTTTCAGGGATGGTAGTTTAGATTTATTTAATAAACTTTCATATGAGCTTTTATAATCTTCATAGATAAATCTTAAAGCCCTTTCCTGAATTTTTTCTATTTTACGAGTGTTTTGCTCTGTACAGAAGTGCCATGTTAAAGGACAGTAACTGAAGTTGGACATTATGAAAGAATGATATATTGTAAGTTTACCTAACTTAGTTAAATGCTTTCCTATTCGTTTAAGAACATTTAATTGCCTTGCTGCCTTTTTACACATATTTGTGATATGTGTATCGAATGACAACCTGAAGTCAATGGTGATGCCTAGAAGCTTAACCTCATCATCACAGGGAATTTTGACTCCATCTAAATCAAATATAATGTTTTTACTTTGTGTTTTGTTACCAATAGAAATTGCCTGAAATTTTTCAGGATTAGCCTGCATTTTATTTGAAGAAAACCATCTAATGAGAGATCTACTGTCATATTCTAGAGCTGCTACCACCTGTTCTAAAGATTTATCAGACTTTGATAATGTGTTATCGTCTGCATAATTGTAAAGATTACATTTTTCTACAAAGAAGAACAAGTCATTTATAAATATGTTAAATAGTAGGGGACCAAGAATAGATCCTTGTGGGACACCTTTAATGATGTTTAACATGTTACTAACATGATACCCTAATTTAACACATTGTTTTCTGTGTGAAAGGTAGCTGTTTAGCATATCTTGTGCTGATTCAGATAGGCCGTAGGCTTTTAGTTTCAAAAGAAGTAGTTCGTGGGGAAGGCAATCAAAGGCCTTGGAAAGATCCATTAAAATGGCTGCAGTATATTCATTTTTATCCAGGGCATATTTCCAGTCTTCAATAACTCTTAATAAAGTTGACTGACATCCAAAACCAGACCGAAAAGCTGATAAAAATGGATTAAAAATTTCACTAAAAAAGTTAGTTAACTGTGTTTCTATTGCTCTTTCGAAAAGTTTTGACATTGTTGGAAGGACACTTACTGGTCTATAATTACCCTTCTCTAAGGTACTATTTTTCTTGTGTATTGGAGTCACCTGAGCAATTTTTAACTTATCAGGAAAGGTTGATGTTGCCAGGGACAAATTAATTATTTTGGTCAAAGGTTTACTGATAATTGGATTAGCAATATGCAAGAGTTTTGGAGAAATTCCATCTATACCTGTAGCTTTTTTCACATTAATTTTTTTTATACTTTTGTCGACAAAATCTTCCTTTATGGGCGAGAAAGAAAATGCATTCAGTTGTGTTGTACCTAGAGTATTTTCTCTAATTGCCTTGATACTTGGGTGGTCCTCATCAACCTTCTCATCTGGATTTCCAATATCATTAGCAACATTTATGAAATATTCATTAAAAATCTCGCTTATCTCATTCTGATTATTTACAAGTTTACTGTTTTCTGAAAGAGTTACATCTTTCTGTACGAGACATCCCTTATTTGTTAAAAAAGGCTTTACAGTTGGCCAAAAGTCTTTTGATTTAGGTCCTCCAGCACATCTTTCAATAAAATACTGATTGATAGATTTGTTTTTTAATTTCGTTACAAGATTTCTTTGTTGCCTATAATTCTCCCAGTTGTATGAATGAATAAGATTATATACATGTATATTTATAGTTTATTAAAATACGTCATTTAACACAAAAGACAGACTAGCTATGTCTGCATTTCCAATAAACTTTGTAAGATTCAAGGTTTAAAACAATAAGGAGCAATTTCATCTCTGCAGTCTTCCAATTTTCAGTTTCTTGATTGATTCCATGACCAAAGTACATGTAAGTGCCCCGTAGGTTAATGTGGGAAGTATTTTATCACTAACTTTAATCAATAATTTCACCCATGTACACCTAGCACTATATAAGCAAACACAACAAACTTGGAAAGTTTTATTTAGCTATTTATTTTATTTTATTTTATTTTTATGGTATTTATTTATTTATTTATTGCGGGGGGGGGGGGGGGGGTTAAGATCATCAAAGATCAAAATGTTGGCTGGTTCCAGCGACAAAAAGCGAAAAATAAGGATTGGTATTGGGGAAGAAATGGGGAGGGTGAGGTTTAATACACATGACTCCAAAAAATAACTTATAAAGAAAGCAATTTTGTGTATATTTTTGTAAGAAACCCAATATTCTTTCGTTAAATTCCGTCTTAATGTTATTTAATTTTTTACAACTAACGAAACGAACATTTCTGAGGTTTGGGTGGGAAGTTCTATGACCCTTTATTCCTACTGCATCTCTCTATAACTATGAGATTCAATATTGTAGATGCAATGTGTTGTAAAAAGAGAGGGACTTAACATGTAAATATTGTAGAGTGCAGGAAAAGGCAAATTCAGATATTAAGCTAAGACACACCTGATATTACGGAGACACCTCAGTTCAACAGCTGTAACAAAACATAGTTATTGTAAGAACAATTCTTTTTTTTAATTTTTTTTTTTTATTATTATTATTATTTTTTTTTTATTTCAATTTATCGAGATTCGCTCTATATATACAAATGTACTTTTCTTATTTCGAAATGTTCCGATCCTCCCCTATACCATGTTATTTTCGCAAACAACCTAAGAGACACCTGAAATTGATTGATTGGGACGTTCTTGTTATGATAAGCCTCCGGTGCTTGTGGACAGAAACCCCAACCCACAGGTTTCCCATAAATTACAGACTCGCGCGCCATCTAGCTTTAATTAGTCCCATGCCGGTGAAACCGGAGGGGACTAAAGGTTTCCTCTGAGTCTGTCTGTCTAGCTGTCTGTCTGTCTGTCAGTCTGTCCCACTTGGTTTTCCGCACTTTTTTTTCTAAACGCTTGCAGATATTGAGCTGATTTTTGGTATGTGAGTGTATCTTAATGAGTTACAGATCGAGTTTCAATTTCCTTTCGCTTCAATGATTTCTTGACGGAATTCCGACCTTTTCATTTTTTCTGGGTTTTCCGCAATTTTCATCTAAACGCTTGCAGATATTGAGCTGATTTTTGGTATGTGACTTTGCCTTCATGAGTTACAGATCAAGTTTGCATTTTTTCCGCTTCATTGATTTTTGACGAAATTACGGCATTTTCAAAATTTAAGGGGAACCAGATTACGCTTGCCGGTAGGGGACTAGTATTGCTAATGCAATATTCTCAGAATGCTTGTTCAGATAGCAAATGTTTTTGCATCCCATGTAGCGTCAATTCAGATAATGATTTTTTTGCATCGTTGGTCAACAGGGTCTTTCGATTTTGCAATTGAGTCTGTTGATTTAATTTTAAGAATTTTGTTTTGTATTTCAGTATATTTATTTGCAAATTAATTATCCGGTTTTTTTGTTTTGTTTTTGTTTTTGTTTTTTTTTTTAACCTTTCTTCCGCCCACAAAATTCTGAAAAAGTGTAAAAATAATTTGATATAGAACTTTGCGTTCCTCAGGGTGCAAGGAAAGAGAAAGAATACATTGCAACACAAGGTACTTGTACATCTAATTACAACTTTTGAAGGGCTGATATGAATTTTGTTCAAAAATGTAGAAGTATCAATATTCACCTTTGAGTGTTAAAGGAGATTTTATTGGAATGTATGGATTGCAAATATGCACGTGTAATTAAAAAAGAGCAACTACAGTTGAACACTGGTATCTCGAACATTGATAAATTGAATATAAATATTATGGTTTTGACTGTGCTTTAAATATTTCTTTAAAAGGACCAAGACAGAATACGGTCGCTGATTTCTGGGCTATGATCTGGCAAGAACACGTTTCTACAATTGTTATGTTGACCAACCTTAAGGAAGGAAATAAAGTACGCATTTAAACGTAACAAAAATATTTATAAAAAATTAAGTGTCTATTAATTCCACATAGCTTGATATATTTTTAGGGCTTTCAAAAAAAAAAAACAAACCTTTTTTTGATAGACAAAATGCACTAAGTATTGGCCAAATGTAAACAACGACATTGATGACGGGACTTTGTCTGTAAATATAATCGAGGAAAAAGTATACACATTCTACATTGTACGAAAGATGTCATTAATCCACAAGAGGGTAGGTATTAACAAATTTGTATATTTAGTAGAAACATCGTGCTATTGGACCATCTTAGGTCCCTCCTCATCCAACCAAACAAAAGATCGTAACATAAGACAGATCCTAACCTGAAAAATGGTCTGACAACCATTTTTTTTATGAACTGAAAATAAAGACAAAATATCATGATAATGTTCCTCGAAAAGGTAATGTCTATCAATGAAAAAAAAAATCAGTGTAAATCACATCGCTTTTAACAACATTTTTATATAGCATATACCTTTTAATCAAAAGCTTTCAAAACTGGCTTTAGAGAATTTGGAAACTTGACATTATAACACACTTCAAAATCTTTTTAGTCAAAGAAATCACGCGTGATGACCCATATGTTTGTAGTGATATTTGATAATACCTTTATCAGACAAATAAATATCGCACGGTGACTCAATACCATTACACGGCGTGGCCAGACCACGGAACCCCGGACCCTCTATGTCTTGTTGTCTTCCTTGATCACGTGATGAGAACAGAAACCAGTCAGAACACTCCAACTGTTGTACACTGCAGGTAAAAAAGTTACAATCCGTAAATAATATCTATAACAATTTAGATTGATGCAAAGCACCAAATCGACAGCAAAAGTATATTTATCATTTACATCATTTCAAATACGAATAAAGTATAAAAATATTCATTTTTAAGCTCTGCATTTATTTCTTTCACAAAATTTCACAAAATGTAAAAATTAAAGAGTCGATATATATGTAACATTAATGTTTTAAAAATCAGAGAATATATAACTAACCATGAAGATTGTTATACTTATGTTTCTGAATTCTACCAACTTAAGTGTAACACAAAGATATTTTCAGTAATGGCGAGAACAAAATCTATTCGAAACTTATTCTGAAATGTGCTTTATCGTAGTAGTATAATCTTCTTAGAATGAATTAACTGTTGAAGAATATTCAAAAACAGTTCATTTTAGTTATATTATCCTTAATTGAATGCACTGATCAATAAGTATATCTGACCAAGCTTCAGTATAATAATCTCTCTCTCTCTCTCATTTAATATTGTTCAGAATTTTTCGTCTTCCTTGCTTAGTGCAGGAATAGGTAGAACGGGGACATACATAGCATTAGACGTCCTGAACCAGATAGGAAGAAAAACAGGAAAAGTGAACGTAGCAGAATATGTCAAGAAGATGAGGGAAAACAGGATGAATATGGTTCAAACCTATGTATGAACACCTCTTTTACACCGAAAAAACAGTTTTTAGAAGTCTCTTATTTTGTTGAAAATTGAGAATGTATGTATGTATATGTATATATATATATATATATATATATATATATATATATATATATATATATATATATATATATATATATATATATATATAATATTCTCTCTCTTAGTTGAATGTAACGTTTTTAAAGAAAATATAAGATAAATAAATAAGCCAATGTATTGGAATTAGACATCCCAAAAATGTTTAAAAATTTGACTTTCTCCGTTAATTCCTTCTAGACCGTCACGTCAACTCACTCGGTAGAACGATCGCTCCGTGATCGGAAGGTCGTGAGTTCGGCTGCGACTGACCTAAGTCGTTAAAAAATAGGTAGCAACTGTTCCTTCGCCAAGCGCTCGGCGCTTTGAAGTGAAAGTTGCGGGTCCTTCGAATGAGACCTTAAGAACCGAGTCCCTGTGTCACGGTAAGCGTGAGACGTAATGGAAAGACATGACATATTTTTAATCAGTCTCGCCACTTGTGAAAAGGATTGTGCTACTAAAATTGAAAAAAAGAAACATTTTCAAAGAGCTAGCAGCGGAGTCTAAGATATTGTTTCCATGTTTTTGCTTGTAAATAGCGGCAGGGATGTAAAAAAAAGCGAAATGCATTATGAGTAAATGACATCTTAAAATTCTCATAGAATGCCATAGCCCGCGTGGAGCAGTTGTTATAGCGTCTGCTCTAGAGTCGCGTAGTAAGAAGTTGATCCTTGCGTCGCGGGTTCGAATCCCACTGCTGGACCTGGAGACAGATAGTTCGGATGAGAAAGTATAAACCAAGGTCCCGTGTCGCAGTAGCTGCTGGCACGAAAAAGATCCCTCAGTGCTCAATGGCCCTGAGTGTCGAGTATAAGACAAATTTGCAGCCCTCCATCAGCAAGTGATTGCGTCTCTCATGAGTGAAATATTCTCAAATGGGACGTTCAACAACATACAACTTACAATTGACCAAACCCTTATACAAGTAAAGAGCAATATAACCATAGCTAGCTTTTGAATTGTCATCTATGCTGATACTCATGAAAAGTAAAAATTGGTGGAAGCGCATACTATGTGACATTTCATTTTCTTTTTTTTAATTACTATTTTCAACCATCACGTCGTAGCAACTTATAAATTTCATTCACTGTATATTCTTTTGTTTTTGTTCATATTCAATTTCAAAATGTTTTCTTTTTGCTAAGATTGCAAATAAAATGAAATATCCCGATTTCAATATTCTACATGCAATATTCCATAATATTACAGGAACAGTACATGACCATTTTTCTAGCATTAAATGAAATATTTAAATCCCCCATAAATACCATGACGGTTGATGACTTCATTAAAAAAGTGGAAGCCATATCTATAGACAAACCTGCAAACCAAAGTGCTTTACGAAAGGAATTTCAGGTTAGTATACAAATAACTTGAATAATAAATAGATAATAGATTCAAAATCTGTACCTAGGCTACAAATTAAAAGGGAATTCAAGCAGGGGTCTACAAGTAGATATAAACACTCAGACATGAAAATACAACAATATAAAAAAACAAATTCAGATGATAATTAGGATAAACCCGGAGGCAATTCAGGGGAATTAAGAATTGTGAACATTGTTTTCTCTGTTTCTCATCCATACAGATCCTCATGAAGATACGTCCTGCCTACACAGACTCGGACTACAAATTAGCACTCCAGAGCCTAGGTGATTTATATTCTAACGGAATATTGCCTCGTAAGTAGTTTTCTACATTTTTAATGAAAGCTACAATGCTTTTCTAGGTGTTTTGAGAAGTGATTTTTTTTTTAATTCCTTCTACAAACTTTTATTTGCAGTAGTTTTATTTTTTTTTTCATGAATTTCTTCTTTTATTTTAAAAAGTGGACAAGTACAGCATTCACCTTCCTTCTAATGTTCCGAAACGAGGGAGTTTCATTAATGCAATCTGTGTACCGGTAAGACTAAGCGATTTTGTATATTTTACTTTTTTAAAATAGATATAAATAGGCACTCACATACAACATTTTAAAAAATTTAGTAGTTTAAATTTTATCTGAATATATAAAGGTTTATGTTCATAGCATTTCCTAGCTTTATGATATATGATTGAAGTCTTTTACTGAACTTGAAAGAAAATTCTATGTTCTAGTACAACGCTGACCAAAAAAGTCCATTGAATGGAAACCAAATAGTATCATTGTAAAGTACTTGTCTTTACACCACAGCTAAATTGCTGTTAATTTAACCTGCTTTATCGTGTCGATTATTTGTATGCCCCCATAATCGAAAATTTGGGGGTATATAGTTTTTGCCCTGTCCGTCCGTCTAGCTGTCTGTCTGTCTGTGTATCTGGTTATCTGTTTGTCCGCAAAAACTTTAACATTGCCTATAAATATTGATTGGTTGGAGCTACGGCTTTCATTTTTACATGTGTATTCCTCGTGAAAATACCTTCCTTTGGGTACCAACATAATTCACCTCTTGACCAGTCACCTAGACCTTGGATTGGAGTTCGACCAACTTCTGCAAAAATTTACCCAACTTTAACCTTGGGCATTACTTTCGAACAGTTGGTGCAAGGGTTTTCATATCTCATAAGTATTTTCATCGTGACAAGACCATTCCATTGGTTTAAATATTTTTTTTACCTTTGACCTTAACCTTATAGTTTGACCCACTTTTAAAAAAACTTTTAAATTGGTCATAACCTTTGAACAGTTAGTACAAGAACTTTCAAATTTCACAGGCATATTCCTTGTGACAAGTCCTTCCTTTGGATATCCACAATTTGATCTTTTGACGTTGACATAAAAGATTGACGTACTTTTGAAAAAAAAAACTTTAACCTTCGCCATAACTTCTGAACAATTAGTACAAGGGCTTTCCTATTCCACAGGTATATTCCTTCAGACAAGTCCTTCCTTTGGATATCCACAATTTGACCTTTTAACCTTGAATTGTAGTTTGACCCACTTTTAGAAAGCATTATCTTTGACCATAACTTTTGAATGATTGGTGCTTTGGCTTTCAAATTTACCGGGTGTATCCATTGACACAAGTCCTTTCTTTCGGTTACAAATTATTGATCTCTTGACCTTGACCTTGGAGTTTGACTTGTATTTGAGAAACTTTAACCTTCGCCATAAGCTACCATACGAGAGCATCAGTGCTTCACCAACCCTTTTTTTTGGGGGGGGGGGGGGGTTACCAAATTTGAGGAATTACATTCGATTTCACGAAAGACATAGGGCAATGTATCCGTTTACATGCACATGACTCGTCAGAATATTTTGTTTACTACACATAACTTCATTTTATATTCTCCATTATCACTAGTTGACATCTGAATATTGTTTTTGACGAGCATTTTCTTCAAAAGAATGCTCGGAATTATTTTATTTTTTCAAGGAACCTGGTTATTTCTGTCTTTTCTTTTGTAACAATCATAAAATGCTGGAAGTCACTAGGTGTTAATTCATATTGGTGTCCAAAATTTAAAAATGCATATTCAAAGGCAGTGAGAGGATTATATGTTTCTTTTTCGATAGTCTTTTATAAACAGTAGAGCGTTCATAGTGACGCATTATCCATCGATAGAGGACGCTGTAGACTTTCTGCGCCTGCTCACTGATCATGAATCTGACACTGTAATTTGTATGGACCCACTTACTGAGATTGAGTCGGTAAGTTATTGTAAAATATTCTATAATTTGATATGTATAATTATTAACAGATTCCCTATATTTTGGAAAAGAAAATTCAATTCGAATTCGCGTCCAAAATAACTTAAAACTTAAGTGATCATATTAATAATTCCCCTGATTTTTTTTTTTTTTTTTTTTTGGGGGGGGGGGATTATCTATCTCATTCTTGTTTACGGATATTCTTAGTGCATAGTATCACTCACTTTCATCTCTTTGTAGTGTGAGGCGTGGTTGCCGAGTTCCTCCTCCATTAAATCAGTCTCTCCATATACGGTTCATTGTCAATCTAAATCCAAAACTGAAATTAAAAGCACCACCATTCATATCCTGCGGAAAAACGTGAGTATAATGTTTCACATTTAGCAATTTTAAGAGAAAAAATACCAAAAATGTCTATTTATTTTTGTTCATTTTATTTGCTATCTACATTTGTATGCATATTTATTGTGTTGTATAATATAACAAAAATTCAAATCACGTCTTTTGCACAAATATCAGTTTATATCAAATTGAGCAATTTCCCTTTCTAAAACAAAATATGTATATATATATTTATCTATAAATTTGAACTTAATGTATTTTGCTGGATAATTCACGTTTCGAACTTCGTGTATCTTGCTTGATAATTCACGTTTTGTACTTCGTGTATCTTGCTTGATAATTCATGAGTTAGGTGTGTTTAACTTCTTTAGACACCAGATATACATAACATCAGTTTTCAACAATTCCATTTTAGAGTGAGGATGAAGTGCATCCTGTCACAGTTATAGAACCAATGGTCGGAATTAAAATATCTAGAAACCCTCTTGACACTTCCCAGATTCGGAATCTGGTAGTCGCTGCTTTAAATGTGAAGACAGAAAACCCTAACACAATAGTCAGCAGGTACCTACGAGGGGTTATCAAAAAGTTCGTGGACTGACGCGATAAAATTAATAATATGTAGTCTTTGCTTACAAAATTTATGCGGAAGATAAAACAACAAAAGTTTAAGAAATGTTGAAAATTTTAGCTTGATACGTTGATAATTTGCCAAATTATTCTAAAATTAAAAAGACTTCATGTGATCACCCGGCGCTGTCGCTGTTTAGTGTCATGACGTCCGCTTTCTTAATGTCCGCTCTCTCTACCTCATACACTTATCTTGATGAGATTACCTAAAGTTAAGTAAGGACTTAAACCCGTCTTATTTATATGAATTTACAATGTCATGAGCAGCTGTTTTCAATGCATATAATATTGTAAATGGATCTTTATATGGGGAAAGATCCTCACTTGATTATGCCAGAATACTTAGCTTGTTGGAGTTCAATTTCTACCACACATGATCAACGTCACTTTTCGACGTGACTGACTTTTGACACCCTGACTACAAATCGACACTAACTGTGAATATTTCATCTCTCTGAATCTTTTTGGGCATTAAAAAACAAGTACTCTGGATGCATTTTATTTTTCCGTAGCCAGTTGAAACATTCCTTAGGTCAATACCAGTTTTCCCAGGAGCGAAACTCTATAGAGTGTTTGAAAAAGAAACCCCTCCCCCTTTTAGACGTTATTTTCAAGCCCATAATTGTTTGGACACTCCATATAAAATTTACGATAAAATTTCATAGAAATTACAGAATGGGGTAAAAATTGCAAATTTTACTGAACAAATGTGTCGTACCACATGCCTGAATTAAAGAGATTTTTTGATGACAAATACTCATATCTAACGAGTTTTTCTCAGTTACCCTCAGGTAGAAAAAAACGTCATATTAGAGGTTGCGCCGCCTGGACATACCTTTGCTTACAAAAACACTAACAATTTATTAAAAAATAAAAATTATGATTTATGGTTTATTCTATAGATAGAAAAGATGATGCTAACTAAATGTGTAAAAATTCATTGATGTACCTAAAGCGGTTTTAATTTTATGACGCTAGTCCACGAACTTTTTGATAACCCCTCGTATTGTATATTATTAAACAATCAAACACTCTTACAATTGACCGAAAAATACTGAATATACTCAGAGTGCGGTAATTATTACAGTAAAACTCAGTTATTAGAAAAAAAATCTTCGAATTTATCTTCCTTCTAAGCGGGATTCTTTATAATCCGTGCAAGGAACATTGTGAAAGTCGCCTTGTGGATTGAAAAAAAAAATATAACTTCTTTATAACCGAGTTTTACTGTATACATGTACGTGTATATGAAATATTAAACTTCGAATTTATCTTCCTAATAAGCGAGATTCTTTATAATTCGTGTAAGGAACATTGTGAAAGTCGCTAAAAATGTTCTAGAAATCACCCATAGTTGAATTATTTTGTTCATTATGAGATTAAGATTGTTGGTTAAGAATTTTAAAATAGTTTGAAGTAGGCGTTTTCTTTCTCTGTTCTTTAATATTTCTTGGTGTTTAGCAATGGAGCGTCACTGTGTGGTGCATTCTGTGTCGTTTATAACGTGATACAACAAATTAACATGGATGGCGCTGTGGATGTTTTCACTGCCGTCAGACAACTTCAAGTTAGAAGGCCAGATTTTTGTTCCAACTTTGTAAGTGTTTGTGTTCTTAATTATAATTCTTTTTGTCAATTTATTTAGAGCTTAAACTTTAAACCTTCAGGTGTCTCAGGAGTATTAAGTTTTATAAAAAATCGTGAATACAGAAAAATAAATGCAAACAGATTATATATATATATATATATATATATATATATATATATATATATATATATATATATATATATATATATATATATATATATATATATATATCACTTCAAAAATAGTAAACTTCATGTAATTATTCTTTAAAACGTGTATGTTATGAAAAAAAAGTCCACTCATTGATTTATTTGTATATAAGTTATTCACAACGCACATCATTCCTTAGATACAACGGTGTTGTTTAAGGACGTTCGATCCTGAGCTTTTGAGCAGATTTTGGTCTGGAGCTTTATTTCTAAAATTCTGCATTATTTTTAAGTTCTAACTTTAAATCTGGATTCTACAATGCAAATTATACTATATCCAATGAAAAAAACGCGATTAAATTCCATTCAAATAGAATTAAGCCAGGAACTATATTTTGTGGCGGAAGATTTTTTAGAAGAAAATGATCATTTTTTTTCCTTTTGAAATATATACAGTACTGTTAAGTTTAGATTCCTATTTTTCCATGCTGGTTGCACACAGAGCTATTTTGTGCATTGAAATGTTTAATGCTGGTTCTAAAATATTAATTAAATCAGTCTTTGTGAATTCTATCATCATATTGTGACAAATATAGAAAATGTATTCTGAAACTCCAGGAAAAAATTGAGCCAATTTTATCACAAAATTAACAGTTTTTTAGTAATATCTAAAAAATAACATCATAGACCTCCACTTTTGATTTTCTTTTCTGAATATATAAGATAACTCTGATCAATCTACTTAAATTCAGCAAACGTTTAAGACTTTAAAATATTTTTCTTCCTTGTTAAATTTTTAATGCCCGAAAAATGACATTTTGTGAGTGCAGAAAGGTCAGATAATTGATTATGCGAAGCAATTTGAAAATTTTTCTTTGTCACAATTTTAATGTGTCTTTTTTTAAGAGAGAATAATTACATACTTTGTCCCATGATTTATTTGGATAAAAAATATTGGAGGGAAAACGTCGAAGATGTTATTTTTGATTAAGACACAAATTCAGTGCAAAAATGTCATTTTAAATGTACTGTAGCGCCATAAGAAGCATATTGACTCCCATTTTTTGTTTTGATTTTTAATTAAGCTATGTGTGTACAAGCTAAAAATATACTTGACAAAAAAAGTTTAAGACTTTAAATATCAGGATCCAACGTCGTTAATCTAAGCTTAAAAGTTTAAAAAGCCAATAAATGGCAAAACATTTATAGTTTTCTACTTTTCGAAAACCTTCCGCAAAAATCACTGATAATCATTCATTATTACTGATGACTTCGCCTCCTTATTTTACCTTTCGTTATATATATTTTTTTTCTTCCGCCTGAATCAAGAACTGACGGACCTTCAAAAATTTGCACTCTGAGATTTAACGGATTCAATTTTGTTTTGAGAAAGAACACACAGGAGATGCCAATGTTTGATCTCGTATTTTCCTTTTTAGCTCTTCTGAGCCAAAGGCTCAAAGAGCTAAAGCTATGGCCATTTGTGCGGCGTGCGGTGTGCGTAAACTTTTTAGAATATGGGCCATAACTCAAGAACCCCTCAGCCAATTATTGTCAAATTTGTCACAGGGTATCCTTGGCCCAAGGGCTCCCGTTTATACTACAACTAGGGTTGTGACCCTTAAACAAGGGGAGATAATTAGGAAAATAGAAACAAAAGTACCGATTGCTAAAAATCTTCTTCTCATGAACCACTAGGTAGATCATTACTAAACTTACATAAAAGGATAAGGATATGCTGTAGATTAAAATTTGCACGTGGAATTGACCTGGGGAAAGGGCGTGGTCTCAAGGTCACTTCAAAGTTGACCTAAAATTACAGTTTATTAAAATGTTGATATTTTGCTTACTATAAGGACTAGGATTATCAAATCTTGTCAGTTGATGCATCTAAGGACCTCGTATCATGTCGACTCAAAAGTAGGTCATGGTGATCTTCTTTTTAAATTTTGCGGCCATTCTTTTTCAAAATGATTTAGAGGCATATTTTGAACAATTTAAGGCTTATGATCATCAAACTTTGTCAGTTGATGCATCTTGGGTCCTTGGAGAACGTCAACTAAAAAGTAGGTCACCTTGACCTACTTTTTGAATTTTATGGCTAATCTTTTCCAAAACAACTAAGGTCATTAATTCAAATACTTAGAGGTTTAGATTCATTAAATCATGTAAGATGATGCATCTTGGGGCCATAAAACATATTTATTAAAAAAAGTAGGTCACAGTGACCTACTTTTTGAACTTTGCAGGCATTCGATTTCCAAGCGTTTTAGAGGTATCATTGGACATTTTAAGGCCTGTGATCATAAAACTTTGTAAGTTGATGCATCTTGGGTCCTCAAAAACCTTCAACTGAAAAGTAGGTCACCGTGACCTACTTTTGAAATTTTATGGTTATATTTAAATATTTAGGGTACTATTTGGCTTAGAATCATTAAAATTTGTCAGTTGATGTATCTTGGGTCCTCAGAGTAGGTCGACTGAAAAGTAGGTCATTGTGACCTACTTTTCAATTTATTTGACTATAATTAAATATTTTTCGGGTACTAATTGGCTTAGAATCATCAAACTTTGTCAGTTGATGCATCTTAGGTCTTCGGAGTAAGTCGACTGAAAAGTAGGTCACCGTGACCTACTTTTCAGTTTATATGACTATAATTAAATTAGGTATCTGTGACCTACTTTTGAAATTTTATTGCTTTATTTAAATATTTTTAGGTACTACTTGGCATGGAATCGCCAAATTTTATCAGTTGATGCATCTTGGGTCCTCAAAGTCTGTCATCTGAAAAGGAGGTCACTGTGACCTACTTTTGAAATTTTATAGTTATTTTTAAAAATATTTTAGGTATTAATTGGCTTAGAATCATCAAACTTAGTTGATGCATCTTTGGTCCTCAGAGAATGAAAAGTGATAAGTAGGTCACGATGACCTACTTTCATGTACTAATTGGCTTAGAAGCATCTAGGGTTCTCAGAGTGTTTCATCTAAAATGTAGGTCATGATGACCTACCTTTGGAATTTCAAGGCTTTATCTAAATATACAGGATACTTAGAGGCTTCAAATAAAAGTGATAGGTTGTACAGTTTATCAGAAGAGCGATTCAAGGCCCTTGGGCCTCTTGTTTTATTAAGAATAATTCCTTTCGATAACTTATATACAGTCCCTGAAACGTTCTACTCTCCCATTTTTCCGTTCGTTCACCGTTCGTTCAGCGTGCGTTCACCGTTCGTTCACCGTGCGTTTACCGTTCATTCTCCGTTCACAGTTTTGCGTTCACCGTTCACCGTGCGCTCGCGTTCACCGTTCACAAAGCGTTCAGCGTTCGCTCTTCGTTCCGTTCACTTTGCGTTCACCTTGCGTTCAGCGTTCACCTATCGTTCAGTTTTCATTGCCATTCGGAACTCCGAAGTGAAGGGACTTATCTTTTTTGTAGTTAAGGAGTTACAGGTTTTTTTTATAATTTATTAACTAACATATCGTGTTTGAAGAATCATTATTTCATGAGGAAAAATATCTACGATATATATTTTTATTATTTTAACTTAGCTGTTAGGTTATTCATTAAATTACTCTGGAAAATAAATGTTGTTAAAAGCACATTCTTTACCTATGTAGAACGATGCAGAAATATTAAATTTAACTAAGCGCAATGTGCAAATACTTCAAGCACTGCAACATTTTGTTGTTTTGTTAAAGACGACAAATCATTAATGGAGATATAATTATTCAAGTCAAATAATTACGCAGCAAAATTACGAAAATATTTATTTCTAATACGTTTTTTTTTCAATTACTACAGAAAATATAATAGAACTAGTGCTAGTTCTGAGAGTTATACATAGTACTGCGGATATCCTGTTAATTTATTATCTTTAGAACGAATTGATAGTGTGGTTAAAGGAAA